TTCCCTGTGCGGGCGCTGACGTCCCCTTTTATACATTTCTCTCCAGCATGCAGTCGACCGTGCTTCCAATTGGGCCACCACACGTGGGTTTAAATTTTCCAGCACTTAAACCCACCAAATTACTTTCACTAGACGCTCTGTCATCTCCGATCATCCTTTGTACCTCTATGGCTCCTGTATCCCTGAACGTGATACAGTCAAGTTTCTGGGCCTCCTCTTTGATCGTAGGTTATCCTGGAAACCTCACATTACCTCTCTGAAGGCAACTTGCCACAGCCGGCAGAACCTCCTTAAAACCCTTGCTCATCTTTCATGGGGAGCTGATCGTCGAACCCTCCTTCGCCTACATTCCACCCTTATCTTATCGAAACTTGATTATGGTGACCAGATCTATTCAGCGGCATCTCCTGCTACTCTCTCTAGCCTTAACCCCATTCATCACCAAGGATTACGTTTATGCCTTGGTGCTTTTCGCTCTTCCCCTGTTGAGAGCCTCTATGCAGAAGCGAACGTTCAATCCTTATCCGATCGCCGTGATGCCCATTGCCTTTGCTACTATGTACGCTCTCATGATCTCCGCAATCCTTCCATTTATAGAATGGTCACTGATATTAGTAGACATTCTTTATTTGTTCGCCGCCCCTGTTTACTCTGTCCCTTCTCTCTTCGCCTTCATTCGCTCTTGTCTTCTCTTCAATTACCACCTTTCTATGTACATGTAGCATCTCACTTTTCCCTACCCCCCTGGGAAGTTCCAGCTGTTCGAGTCTGTTCTTTCTCTCTCCCTTGCTCGACAGCCCAACTGTCTATGGTCGCTTCCCGCTCTCATTTTCTTGACCACTTTCACTCTCATTCTCATGCCATTGCTGTGTACACAGATGGCTCTAAGTCTTCTGACGGTGTAGGATTCGCAGCAGTGTTTCCGGACAGCGTCGTACAAGGGCATTTACTATCTTCGGCTAGTATTTTTACTGCTGAATTGTATGCCATCCTTACAGCACTTATCCGTATTGCATCTATGCCTGTGTCATCATTTGTGGTTGTCTCAGACTCCCTTAGTGCTTTACAGGCTATACAGAAATTTGATACACCTCACCCCTTAGTCCTCCGTATCCAACTTTGGCTACGCCGCATCTTTACCAAGCATAAAGATATTGTTTTTTGTTGGGTCCCTGGTCATGTTGATGTACAGGGCAATGAACAGGCAGACACTGCTGCGCGGTCAGCAGTACATGACCTACCAGTTTCATGTAGAGGTATTCCATTTACGGACTATTTTGCTGCAATATCTTCCCAATTTCACACCCGTTGGCAACAACGTTGGTCTACTATGCTCGGCAACAAACTTCAATCTATTAAACCGAGTATAGGTTACTGGCCGTCTTCTTATCACCAGTGTCGAGGTTGGGAGACTACTCTCTCCCGTCTTCGCATTGGCCATACTCGTCTTACTCATGGATATCTCATGGAGAGGCGCCCTGCTCCTCTCTGTGAGAATTGCCAAGTTCCATTATCAGTCCAGCCACATTCTGTTGGACTGCCCACTTTATCAACGAGCACGCAGAATTTACCTCCGTCGTCGTCTTCGCTCTGCTGCTCTCTCTTTACCTTCCCTTCTCGCTGATGGACCCACCTTTCATCCAGACTCTCTCATTGACTTTTTGACAACAACTGACTGACTTCACAAATTCTGATACCTTCAGCCCTTTCTACTTCAATCTCTTGCTACCCCCTACCCCCGTACTATCCCCTGCCCCGCTGTTTTCTGTAACCTACTGATCATCCCTTCTCCCTTCTGCCATCCAACACCCTCGCTTCCTTCCCTACCCTGCAGCGCTGTATAGCCCTTGTGGCTTAGCGCTTCTTTTTGATTATAATAATAATAATACCCACTTTAGCATTAAAATCCCCAACCACAAGTACTCTCACACTTGGTTCTAAACTCCCCACACATTCACTCAACATTTCCCAAAATCTCTCTCCTCTATACTTCTCTCTTCCCCAGGTGCATATACGCTTACTATAACCCACTTCTCACATCCAACCTTTATTTTACTCCACATAATCCTTGAATTAATACATTTATAGTCCCTCTTTTCCTGCCATAGCTTATCCTTCAACATTATTGCTACTCCTTCTTTAGCTCTAACTCTATTAGAAGCCCCTGACCTAATCCCGTTTATTTTTCTCCACTGAAACTCGCCCGCCCCCTTCAGCTTTGTTTCACTTAAAGCCAGGACATCCAGCTTCTTCTCATTCCTAACATCCACAATCATCTCTTTCTTATCATTCGCACAACATCCACGCACATTCAGACTTCCCACTTTCTTCTTATTCTTTTTAATAATTTTTACAGGAAAAGGGGTTACTAGCCCATTGTTCCCGGCATTTTAGTTGACTTTTACAACACGCATGGCTTACGGAGGAAAGATTCTTATTCCACTTCCCCATGGATATAAAAGGAAAAGTACTAAGAACAAGAACTAAGATAAAATCAAAGAAAACTCAGATGAGTGTATATAAATAAATGTGTACATGTATGTTTAGTGTGACTTAAGTGTAAGTAGAAGTAGCAAGACATATCTGTAACCTTGCATATTTATGAGACACACAAAAGACACCAGCAATCCTACCATCATGTAAAACAATTACAGGCTTTAGTTTTACACTCACTTGGCAGGACGGTAGTACCTCCCTGGGTGGTTGCTGTCCCGCTCTCTTTTTCTTGACCACTTCTGCTCTCATTCTCATGCCATCGCAGTGTACACAGATGGCTCTAAGTCTTCTGATGGCGTCTGATTCGCAGCAGTGTTTCTGGACAGTGTCGTGCAATGGCATTTACTGTCTTCGGCTAGCATTTTTACAGCTGAATTGTATGCCATTCTTGCAGCATTTATTCGTATTGCATCTTTGCCTGTGTCATCATTTGTGGTTGTTTCAGACTACCTTAATGCTTTACAGGCTATACAAAAATTTGACACTCCTCACCCCCCCCCAGTTCTCCGTATCCAACTTTGGTTATGCCGTATCTCTACCAAACATAAAGATGATGTTTTTTGTTGGGTCCCTGGTCATGTTGATGTACAGGGCAATGAACAGGCAGACACTGCTGCGCGGTCAGCAGTACATGACCTTCCAGTTTCATATAGAGGTGTTCCATTCACGGACTATTTTGCTGTTATAGCTACCCACCTTCACACCCGTTGGCAACAACGTTGGTCTGCTCTGCTCATTAATAAACTTTGTTCTATTAAACCGAGTATAGGTTACTGGCCATCTTCTTGTCATCAGTGTCAAAGTTGGGAGACTACTCTCTCCCGCCTTCGCATTGGCTATACTCGTCTTACTCATGGATATCTCGTGGAGAGGCTCCCCGCTCCTCTCTGTGAGAATTGTCATGTTCTTGTATCGGTCAACCACATTCTGTTAGACTGCCCACTTTATCAATGAGCACACAGAATTTACCTCCAACGCCGTCTTCGCTTCGCTGCTCTCTCTTTACATTCCCTTCTCGCTGATGGGCCCACCTTTCATCCAGACTCTCTCATTGACTTTTTGGCAACAACTGACTTACTCCACAAACTCTGATGATGATACCTTCAGCCCTTTCTACCTCAATCTCTTGCTACCCTCTACCCCCGCACTATCCCTTGCCCCGCTGTTTTCTGTAACCTACTAATCATCCCTCCCCCCCTTCTGCTGCCTGATCCCCTCGCTTCCTTCCCTACCCTGCAGCGCTGTATAGCCCTTGTGGCTTAGCGCTTCTTTTTGATTATAATAATACAAGCTACTTCTGGTGTGAAACTGATCAAAATCATCACTATGTCTTCTATCAAGTGATACCGAGAAAAAGCCAATAAAATCACAAAAACCACCCTGAAAAAAAACTCAAAATTGCTATTTTAAACAAACACAAGATCAGAGGTTTGCTTTTCCCATCATGCACTGCATGGAGGGGAGGGACAGGATTCTTTTTTTTATATTGTGCACACTTGCTGCACACACTTCCTTGTGTCTAAGCCAAAATTTAACCCCTCACAGCAAATATGAGGGAGCTGTGCTTAAAATGTAGATGTACACGAGCGATATTGGTGCCAATGACATAGCTCTACGGATGAGACAGTGGAAGGGTTAAATGCCAAGTATGGTATAAGAATCTAGTGCAGCATGCTTTTGCAGAATCCAATCAGTATTTCATACATGCACATCTTTCCACTACTGTGTTTGTACCCCCAATAATTATAAATTCTTAGTAATATTTTTTTAACACTCTTCCACCAAGCTAGGATGACCCAGAAAAAGAAGAAAAAGTTTCATTGTTATTTATTCAATCACACACTTCCCAGAGGCATGATGTCACAGCTCAGATGACTCCCCCTGTATTACTATCTCCTCACAGTAACATTGCTGTTTTAATATGCAAAGTTTGGTTACAGTACTTAAAATTATCATTACATTTAATCTTGTCTCCAGACAACCTATTAAACTTGGAATTTAGGAAATTTAACTTCAATTACTGTTTACAGAGCTACATTATGTTCAGCAGTTTTAAGTTTTACTTTAAAATGTTCTATCTACCTCAAGGCATTTCAGAATGTATGAAATAAATGTCACCTAATTTTGTAACAATTATGTACAGTACTTTGTGAAATTGTTTCAGAGATATGCAGTACTGCACAAACATAATTTACCTGCATGTTATACTCGGTAGGGTTGTATCAAATTACGTATGTGTATTACAATACTACTGTACAGTGGCAAAGTTAATAAAATTAAAAAGTTAATTACCTAGTACATATCATGTTACCTAAAATGCATTTTTTGCCTGTTTTTTTAATGCAATTTTGACAATAATAATCATAAAAAATCTTAAGCTGCTATGGATTGCCAGTGAGAATCACTGAACTTTTTTTTTTATTTTTTTAATACGTTGGCCGTTTCCCACCAAGGCAGGGTGACCCAAAAAGAAAGAAAAAAAAACTTTCATGATCATTCAACACTTTCACCATCATTCATACATAATCAGTCTTTGCAGATGAACTCAGATACAACAGTTTAGATGTCCCTCCAAACTGCCAATATCCCAAGCCCCTCCTTTAAAGTGCAAGCATTGTACTTCTCATTTCAAGACTCAAGCTAGCTAACAGGTTTCCCTGAATCCCTTCACAAAATATTACCCTGCTCACACTCCAACAGCTCACGTCCCAAAAAACATTTGTCTCCATTCACTCCTATCTAACACACTCGTGCACGCTTGCTGGAAGCCCAAGCCCCTCACCCACAAAACCTCCTTTACCCCCCTCCCTCCAACCTCTTCGGGGACAACCCCTACCCCGCATTCCTTTTCCTACAGATTTATACTCTCTCCAAATCTTTCTACTTTGTTCCATTCTCTCTAAATGATCAAACCACCTTCAGCCCTCTGACTAATACTTTTAGTAACTCCACACCTCCTAATTTCCACACTATGAATTCTCTGCATAATATTTACACCCCACACTGCCCTGAGACACGACATCTCCACTGCCTCCAGCCGCCACCTCACTATAGCATTTACAACCTATGCTTCACACCCACATAAGAGTGTTGGTACCACTATACTCTCGTACATTCCCTTCTTTGCCTCCATGGATAACTTTTTTTTGTCTCCACAGATACCTCAATGCAACACTCACCTTTTTTCCTTCATCAATTTTATAGTTAACCTCATCCTTCATAAACTTATCTGCTGACAGTCAACTCCCAAATATCTGAAAACATTAACTTCTTCCATACTCCCCCTCTCTCCAATGTGGTATCCAATTTTTCTTTATCCAAATCGTTTGATACCCTCATAACCTTTCTCTTATGTATGTTCACTTTCAACTTTACCTTTACACATCCTCCCAAACTCGTCCACTAACCTTTGCAACTTTTCTCTAGAATTCTCCAAAGCACATTATCATCAGCAAAACTTAACTGTGTCAACTTCCATTTTGTATTTGATTCCCCATAATTTAATCCCATCCCTCTCCCCAATATTCTACATTTACTTCTTTTACAATCCCATCTATAAATACACATATTAAACAACCATGGTGACATTACACATCCCTGTCTAAGACCTACTTTTACTGGGAAGTAGTCTCCCTCTCTCCTACACACCCTAACCTGAGCTTCACTATCCTCATAAAAACTCTTTACAGTATTTAGTAACTTACTACCTATGCCATACACTTGCAACATCTGCCACATTGCTCCCCTATCCACTCTATCATATGTCTTTTCTAAATCCATAAATGCAGAGAAAACTTCCCTACCTTTATCTAAATTCTGTTCACATATATGCTTCAATGTAAACACCTGATCTACACATCCCCTACCCATTTGAAAGCCTCCTTGCTCATCTGCAATCCTGCTCTCTGTCTTACCTCTAATTCTCTCAATAATAACCCTACCATACACTTTACCTGGTATACTTAGTCAACTTATTTCTTTTGTCCCCCTTCCCTTTATATAAAGGAATTATACACTCTGCTAATCCCTAGGTACCTTCCTCTCTTTCATACATTTATTACTATACCTCCCCCAAATCTCCCCCTGCTTCTAATATTTCTGTCACGATCCCATCAGTTCCAGCTGCTTTACCCCCTTTCATTCTATGTAATGCCTCCCACACCTCCCCTACACTCGCATTCTGCTCTTTTTCACTCCTAAAAGACGTTATACGTACCTTCCTGGCCAGTGCATGAAATTACTGCCTCCCTTTTTTCATCAACATTTACAAGTTCCTCAAAATATTCTTGCTCCCCATCTACTAACTCCCATACTCTGAACTTGTGTACATTAAAAACAAACCAACATAATTCACCAACCTCCTTGTAGCATTTTTGGGTTACTACGTCCTTCATATTTCCCCAAACTGTTATGTGTTCACGTTGATATTTCTTCACTAATTCGCTTACCTGGTAAAATAATGTCAAATGAATATCACATAAATAAACATTTTCAAAGAAGCCTTATAGCACTACTGTAGTAGTATGTATTGTACTGCTGTGCTTCAGCTGCACTCAGTCATCTGACTTATTGAAACAACCAGAGTATGAACAGTTATTTAGGTATGTGATCTCATTTGTTCATCAAACCCTTCACAAGAGGTAGTTTTTTATTCTTCAAAGTTTTATTCAGTATTCAGTGCGCTCTATGAACCACTGAGGAATCCAATGACCAATAAATATCTTAATCTTCACTTCAGTTATGTTACTTGGCAGTTTGTCCAACTCACAACTCGATTCCTAAATCAGTTCTTTCTTGTATCCTTTCTAAATCTAAATACAGCATATCCATAATGAATCCAGAATTGCTAATTCTGTTTTAAAACTTTTTTACAATGGAAAATGTCATATTGGCAACAGTCTCAAAGACCATTTGTCAGAACTGTCTCCTGATAATCATTGTTTTGCGAGAACTAAAAACAATTCATTTTAGGTAAAATAAATTTACATGGAAAGGATATAAGAAATCAAGTGGTTTGATTATCGATTTGCAAATGAACAGAGCAAGATGATAGGTTGTGGCACTAAGGTGAGCACTTTGGGTGCTCAAAAACTAAGGAAGACTTGTATGTGAAATACAGGAAAAAGTAAGCTTGTGCAAAATGGTCAGTGACCCGTAAAAAAAAAAAAAGACCAATACATGAGGACATGAATACTGTAGCTCTCTAACATAGATCCTGTTTTGTAAATTGTAAAGTTAGGTAAATATATGAGAATAATCTGAAGCAGATGACTTTTTCACGTTCTATGAAACAAAACCAAGAGCATCAATTATATAAACATGCATGAATGCAGAGACTTGATCATAAAAATATCAGTACTGTACTGTTTTTAGAAAACAACAGGTTGTAGAAACTTTAATTGGGTCAACATTTCACTGTCAGTTACAGGAGGGCCACGCATATGCAGCACCTATTTTCGGTGTTCCACAATTTTGTTGGTTTTTCAGCTGAGTCATTGGTTGGAACATAATGAACAATGGCTCAATTTGAAGCCAACGAAAATTGGAACACTGAAAAGAAGGTGCTGTATATACAGGGCCCTGTATATCAAATCGTACATGATTTAACAGAGTGATATGTTGTCCCAATAAAATCTCATTCTGCAATGTGTTTTTTCTTCAATATTGTCCACAATAAACCATTTGTATACAGTACTTTCTATAAACAACAGTTTCTAGTAACAGAATTAAAAAGTATATTTACTTTTGATATAAGTTCATTGCTGTCAATTTTGATGTCTATATTAATGGGTGTATTTGGGAAGTGCTGAAAGGTTTCCTCCAAGAGAGGAAATCTTCGATCTTCACTGTTACTACTGAATGTTACGCCAGGCATGAAGTCTATGGGGATCTGCTCTTTGATTGGAGGAAGCTCAGCATAATTGTATTCTGATATTGCTCCTTTGAGCTCTGTGCGAATATCTAGAACAGAGTCATGTGAGACCACTACATGACCATCTCTAGTAAGTTGACAGTCAAGTTCAAGCATGTCTGTTCCCACAACAACTGCGCTGCAAAAAACAAGTCTTTATTAGTGAAAAAAAAAATAGATTGCAAATACAATATGGTTATCTGTCTGGATATGAACAGTGATTCTGAATGTTATTAAACACTGACAGTAAATAAATACAGTGGAACCTCAAAAATAGAACTTAATCCGTTTCAGGAACTAGTTCTAAATTCGAAAAGTCTGAAATTCGAAGCAATATTTCCCATAAGAAATAACGGAAATACAATTAATCCGTTCCAGAAACCCAAAAATATTCACACAAAAAATACATTTTATAGAGATTAATTACAGTTTTAAATACAACAAATACTATAGTTTTTAATTATGTATAGTAATACATATAAAATAACATTTTTACTTACCTTTATTGAAGATTGGTGATGGCATCTGGAAGATAGGGAGGAGGAGAGAGGGAGTTGGGGTTAGTGTTTGGAAGGAGAATCCTCCTCCATGAGGACTTCAGGTAAAGCCCTCTCTGGGGTTACTTCCCTTCTCTGTCTTTTAATGCCACTAGGACCAGCTGAGAGTCACTGGACCCCTGTCTCACAAAAATAACTGTCCACAGTCCTTGTTGCAGCTTGCTCAGGGTGGTACTTCTGCACAAACATTTGGACATCATTCCACTTGGCACAAATCTCCTTAATCTTTGAAGAAGGCACCTTGTCCACTCCCTCTTCCTCCTCTGAAGCAAGTTCCTCAGCTGTGGTCTGATACTGCTCCAGATGAAGCTCTTGCAGCTCTTCAGTGGTTAGGTCTTCCCTTTTGGTCCTCCACCAAACTGGCTGCCTCACCATGTCTTACAACATTGTGTATGCCACTAAGCTTCTTAAATCTGTCAAACCAGCCTCTGCTGGCCTTAAATTCACTATCAGTACTGGTTCCAGGAGTTTTCTGTACCAGATGGGACATGCAACTTCCTTGCCTTTTCGCAAATAATCGTCTCTGAAACACTATCACCTGCAGTCTCTTTATCCTTGATCCACACCAGCAACAACTTCTCAACCTCTTCAACTATTTGTGGTCTTTTTTTGGTTAGCATATTAACACCTTTCACAACATCAACTTCCTTGATTTGTTCTTTCTTTGACAGGATAGAATCAATGGTCGACTTGTTTTTTCCATACTTCCTGGCAAGCTCAACAAGTCTCACACCACTCTCATACTTCTGTATTATTTCATTCTTCACATCTATGGTGTTTTCTCACTTTCTTTACCACAGGGGTACCACTAGCAAGTTTCTTTGGGCCCATGGCAGCTTATTTCACAGTCCCACAAGCACTAAACACAGCGAAATAATCATAAAATGCGTGAATGAGAGCGCAGGTTAGTGTTCACTCAGCATAAACAAAGCTAGACTGCTCACGATGTGCGGGGACGCGGACAGCGGGCGGCAGACAGGTCCCGTACCCGGCGGTCCGAAAATAGGGGCGCGTTCGATAATAGGGACACAGTTTGTCCGAAAAAATGGTCCTATTTTCGAAAGGTTCGATATGTAATATGTTCGATTTTTTGAGGTTCCATGTAGTTTTTTTTGGAAAATTAGCACGCAGAATTTACCTCCGTCGTCGTCTTCGCTCTGCTGCTCTCTCTTTACCTTCCCTTCTCGCTGATGGACCCACCTTTCATCCATTGACTTTTTGACAACAACTGACTTACTTCACAAATTCTGATACCTTCAGCCCTTTCTACTTCAATCTCTTGCTACCCCCTACCCCCGTACTATCCCCTGCCCCGCTGTTTTCTGTAACCTACTGATCATCCCTCCTCCCTTCTGCCATCCAATACCCTCGCTTCCTTCCCTACCCTGCAGCGCTGTATAGCCCTTGTGGCTTAGCGCTTCTTTTTGATTATAATAATAATTTGGAAAATTTAATTATGTGCTTTAAGGTTACCAAATATCACTAGAGAAATTTAACAAGTGATAAATACTGTACAATACAGTATGTACAGATACAGTGGACCCCCGGTTAACGATTTTAATCCGTGCAAGAGGGCTCATCGTTATGCGAAATAATCGTTATGCGAATGAATTTTCCCCATAAGAAATAATGGAAATAAAATTAATCCGTGCAAGACGCCCAAAAGTATGAAAAAAATTTTTTTTTACCACATGAAATGTTAATTTTAATACACACAAACTGAAAAAGGCATGCACAATTACATGACACTTACTTTTATTGAAGATCTGGTGATGATTGATGGGATGGGAGGAGGGGAGAGCATTATCTTCTTACTGTTTAGAAGGGGAATCCCCTTCCATTACGACTTGAGGTAGCAAGTCCTTTTCCGGGGTTACTTCCCTTCTTCTTTTAATGCCACTAGGACCAGCTTGAGAGTCACTGGACCTCTGTCGCACAACAAATCTGTCCATAGAGCTCTGTACCTCCGTTCCTTTACGATTTGTCTAAAAAGGGCCACAACATTGTCATTGAAATAGTCACCAGCACGGCTTGCAACAGCTGTGTCAGGGTGATTTTCATCTATAAAGGTTTGCAGTTCAACCCACTGTGCACACATTTCCTTAATCTTTGAAGTAGGCACAATGGATTCCACAACTGGCATAGGCTTCTCAGGGTTAGCCCCAAACCCTTCAAAATCTTTCTTAATTTCCATACTAATTCTCACCCTTTTTACCACAGGGTTGGCACTAGAAGCTTTCTTGGGGCCCATGGTCACTTATTTTCCAGAAACAGCACCGAAAACACTGTAATAATACGAAATATTCCGAGTGTATGCTTGGATGTTACCGCGGAGGCTGGCTGGTAAACAATGGGACGGCCGGCACATGTGAGGCTGGCTGAGGGCACATTGGACGCGTCTCGGACGAAAATCAGTAAGCGGGTTTTTAATCGGTATGCGCGGCAAAAATTTTGCGATAAAAGTAATCGGTATGCGGAAAAATCGCTATGTGATGCCATCGTTATGCGGGGGTCCACTGTACATGTACAGTACTTGAATCTTTAAATGCTTAACTATAAAAATTAGAAAATAAAATAAGACAATATGATTTAAGGTGGGTATTTATTATATTTTTTACATTTTTTAAAATTTCTGACATATTTTGCTGAAGTTTCCCTAAAATGTCAGTGGAACTGGACATTTTCTACCAAAAATGTGTGACACAATGAAGGAAACACATTCGTCATTCACTCGTTCAATAGTTATTTTCCCAGAACTGCACTAACCACCCGAGTCAAATCATCCTTACCCAACTGTCAGTGTCAGCACCGTTTATCCCACCTCCAGAACTCAATTCCAGCTAATCAGCTTTTCTATATTTCATAAATGTAAAATACCCAAAACCACTTATTTCCACTCACTTCAATCTCACATGTTCACACATGACTGATGAATATTCAAGTTCCTACCACTCAAAAACATTAATTCAAAATTTAATTCCAACAAGAGCAGTGATATATATATATATATATATATATATATATATATAATATATATATATATATATATATATATATATATATATATATATATATATATATATATATATATATATAATATATATATGTAGGTAGTAGGTTGGTAGACAGCAACCATCCAGGGAGGTACTACCGTCCTGCCAAGTGAGTGTAAAACGAAAGCCTGTAATTGTTTTACATGATGGTAGGATTGCTGGTGTCTTTTGTCTGTCTCATAAATATGCAAGATTACAGGTAAGTCTTGCTACTTCTACTTACACTTAGGTCACACTACACATACATGTACAAGCATATATATAAACACCCCTCTGGGTTTTCTTCTATTTTCTTTCTAATTCTTGTTCTTGTTTATTTCCTCTTATCTCCATGGGGAAGTGGAACAGAATTTTTCCTCTGTAAGCCATGCGTGTCGTAAGAGGCGACTAAAATGCCGGGAGCAAGGGGCTAGTAACCCCTTCTCCTGTATATATTACTAAATTTAAAAGGAGAAACTTCAGTTTTTTCTTTTGGGCCACCCCGCCTCGGTGGGATACGGCTGGTATGTTGAAAGAAGAAGATATATATATATAAATTATTGCTTGGACCAAGTGGCTAGTAACCCCTTTTCCTGTATACATTACTAAAAAGAAAATTTTTTTTTTTTGCTTTTCTTGTTTAGGTTACCCTGCCTCGGTGGGATACAGCCATTTTGTTGATTTTTTTTTTTTTCAAAATGGTATACTTTCATAACCAATGAAAATCTTGGCAAAACTGACTGACATATTTTACATACCAATTATATGTATGTGCGGTATAACAGTAATGTTGCACATTAATTGGGTCAGTAGACAATTTTGTACATCATACTATGACTTAGTTCCATTTAATTATTCATTACAAAGTTTATATCTCTTACAGGATTACGGTCTGAGTTTCACAGGAATTTGTTATGTGGTGGTTCTACATGTAGTATAAGTACTATTACAGAGTGATTAACTTAGGAACACCTAGAATGGCTAGGCATATTTCAGGCAGACTTAGATTAATTCTTAAATTTATTAAATATTACATATTATGATGGTTATTGTTGGTATTCATGTGTAAGTGACTAAATACTAGATTTGTGAGTTAGCACAGGTGAATGTCTTTTGTATTTGCAACAATACATATTTCAGTATTGGAGTATCAATGGCCATGCTTATGACTAGTTGGATTTCATTATTTTAAGATTTGTTTTGATAATTTTCTGTTTATGGTCAATGGAGTGAGTGAGTGTAGTTGAACCACCAGATGGTATTGTGTAATTAGCTGAAGGGGTTTTGTACCAACAATACCAACAAGTACCAACAATACCACCAGTCCGATGACATTCTTCTTTGCAAATATACAGGGTCTAAAGCCAGCAACAAACAACAAAATACCTTTCATCCGTGGACTGCTTGCAGAGGCAAAGGCAATGTTCGTGGCTTTCACTGAGACCCATGTAAAGGATCACTTGGACATGAAATATGGATCCCAGGTTACAACCTATACAGATGTGACAGAGTGAACAGGCAAAAGGGGGGGGGGGGGGTTGGCC